TATATATAGTTCTATGCCATTTTCTCTCACCATTGCAACCAAAATTTGAAACTATTCTGTCACCACAAAGATCTCCTTTGTATTTTCTTTCTAGCCACACACACACTCCCCCTCACCATCCCTTACTCCTTATTCTCCATTTCTATTGTTTTTTAATTTCAAGAATGTTATATAAATTGAATCACACAGTGTGTGAGGGTTTTTTTTTTTAAGATTTGCTCCCCGTCCTCCACTCAGTATAATGCTCTTGAGATCCACTCAAGTTGTTGTGTGTATTAATAATAAATAGTTCATTCCTTTTATAGCCAAGTAATATTCCATGGTATGGATGTATCATGGTTTGTTTAACTATTCATGTATTTTTTTATCTTTAATAATGCCTTAAAACCTATTTTGTATTATAAATTAATTTGGCTGTTAATTTCCTTTTGGTTAGTGTTTACATAGTATATTTTTCTAACTTTTACTTTCAAAGTTTCTGCATGCTTATTCTTTATCATGTATATTGGGTTTCTAAAAATCAGACAAAATCTTTAAGCTAGTAAGTTTAGCCCATTTTTACCTATTATTTTTATTAATACGTGTGAACTACATGCTTTCTCTCTCTTTTTTTTTTGCTTTTTTGAGGTTTCACTTTTCTCATTTCTCATCTTCTTTGGATTAAATCATCCTTAGTGCATTTTTCCCTTTAATGCATTAGACATTTTATGCTATCTATTATTTTAGTGGTCACTCTTCCAATTTTATCATTCATATCTAACTTCAGTCTAGAGTTAATCAATTATATTAAGAATAGGTGGGGGAAAAAAGAATCAGTGAGAGTCCCAATTGTGATTAATTTGGACTGACATAAACTTCTTGGACATACTCAAAATCTGTAAAATCTACAATTCTTTTCTTTTTTGTTCTGATAATGCAGTATCATCCTCAGACCTAGGGTGTTTTCATATTTGAAAGTATGAGTCTCAGTGAAGGCATGGGGCAAATTGCTATTTATTTTCCTTATAAGTAGGGCACAGAGCTAACTATTTTTGAAAGGCCCTGAAAGGCTCAGAATTTCCCAGATCACCTACTTAAACTACCAGTTTTCCCCATTTTACTAAAGAAATTTGATAAATGGTACATTCAACTGATATAACAATTAAGTAAAGAAAAAGGCCAATTTCTAACTCATTCTTCAAGTTGTCTCTGTCTAACAGCTTTAAGTGGAGAAAGATTCATGCAGTAAGATTTTGTAATTGCTCTATTTTATCTTTTGCATTGAATTAGGTATTCCACAATTTAGTCTATTCATTGTTTTCACTGGAATTTGCTCATTGATTTTAGAAACAACCATCTGATCCCACTCAAATCCTCTTCTCCATGGTTCTTGTCACCTAGAATGTATTGTCAGAGGGAAAGGACTCTCAGTTAATTGGAGGCTATTAGTTTTCAATGCCAGGTTGTGGAACAAATCCTTATTTGCCTTTTGCCCACCTCAGCCCAAATAACTCATGTTTTCTTGAGGCTCTGTTGCTTACTAACCCACTTCTGTTCTTACTCTTTGTCTGTAGACTTTTGTTTAAGCACAAGAAATAAATGAATTTAAGGAAAGATGCTGTGATATATCTTACAAGTAATGGAAAAATTGAATACCTGGCCTGATAAATGATGAAAACAAGTGCACCTCAGGGACTCCAAGAGCAGGAGTTTGTATCACTTCGTCCTTGTGCTCTACCACTAAAATGACAGCCCTGTATTCTCAATTTTTGCATTTGTCAGTTCATATTCTTTAAAAATAATTTAAAAAAGACCATGAAAACTTATTGACCCAATTGATTTCCCAGACCAATAAGTTAAAGCAAGGAAGGTAAGACCTTTCAATGCAAATTTGGTTGTGAGAATTGCCCCCACTTCAACGATGCTCTGGACACACAATGTAAAAGGTAAAAACTATAGTATGACAGAAATGTCTAGGAATGTTTCAACAATTGTACTTCAGTAGCAATAGAACACTATTTAGCTGCTGCTCAGTTCCTGGTGCCTACTGTCATAATTATACCAGGGTAAGTCTTTCCAAAGAGCTACCTTTTTAAGTCTCAGCACCACCTGGACTATGCTGTTGATCATTCTCATGTGATGTGACCTAAGACACAAAAACTCAGACTTTAGGAAATGAAATATTTGCCTATTGTGTGATTCTTAGCTCATTCATAAGTCCAGTCTACATGTCTCTGCATGGGAATAGGTTCCATCTGAAGGCAGTGGAAATTTCCACTGCTAATCAGAGCAAAGGAAGCTGGTTGGATTACCCTCATAGCTGGGATCAAGCCAAGAGACATTAATACATCCATCTTCAGTATATAAGCTCAGATACTATCTCTACTTCATCGAGGAGACATTACTATTCCAGGACTGACAACTTTTCAGATTCTCCTTATTAATGGTTCTAACAATCTGGAATCTAGCCTCACCCAAGGTCATGTCATTACCAGAGCAATGATATTTTTTTATGACATGACCACAGGTTTGATGTCATATGGGTTATAATGGTCACAGTAAAGCTGAGTAAGACCAACATTAGACCCAGTGTCCTCCATCATTTCTCTCCTAAAAGGAGAAAAAGAAAAAAGGCTTTCACATTCATTGTTATCACTACTGATCTCTTCAAAAAGTCCTTAAGTATTATGAGCTGTCAAGCCTATGGCTGTGGATACAAGCTTTCCAAAATTCTAATTTTGCTTGAAAGTTCAAATTTTATTGTTGGTGGCAAATATCGTCAACTGTTTTCCTTGAAGTTTCACTTCATTCATTTTTAAGAAAATGTCTACCCAGTATCCAAGTCTGAAAAACCACAGTTTTTCTGCCAATCATCCTTTCAAGTGAAAATGGTGTTCCACATCAAAAGCAGCTAATTCAGGCACAATTCAAATGATTGTGTAAACATTTTCCTTTGAGACAACCATTGTATTAAGCTATGCAGCAGAAGTGCTTTTTGCATGCTTCGATTACACAGAATTATTAAAAGATATGCACTCAAGCATCAAGATTTAATTAAAAATATAATTTTATTATAAATAGGGCTCCATTAAAGACATTTTAAAATGAAACTGGATTACAAGAATTTGTTGAGTGTGTGGCTACAAAGAAATTAATCACTACTAGTACAGTTTGGAGACATTGCCTTGATCTATGCTGAGGCACCAAAAATTTAACCCACCATTGCTTTGTTTTGAAAATAATTTTGATCTTACAGTCCCAGGGACCTGTAGTGGTCTGTGAACTACACATTAAGAACCACTGATGTACAATGATTCCAATTCTGTGTAAAAATACATTGTGATGACATAATAAACATCAACATTTAGAAAACTAAGATCATGACATCTAGTCCCATCACTTCATGGCAAATAGATGTGGAAATAATGGGAACAGTGACAGACTTTACTTTCTTGGGCTCCAAAATCACTGCAGATGGTGACTGCAGCCATAAAATTAAAAGACCCTTGCTCCTTGAAAGAAAAGTTATGATAACTTAAGCAGCATATTAAAAAGCAGAGACACTATGCCAACAAAGGTCTGTCTAGTCAAGCCTATGGTTTTTCCAGTAGTCATGTATGGATGTGAGTTGGACTATAAAGAAAGCTGGGTGCTGAAGAATTGATGCTTTTGAACTGTGGTGTTGGAGAAGACTCTTGAGAGTCTCTTGGACTGCAAGGAGATCCAGCCAGTCCATCCTAAAGGAAATCAGTCCTGAATATTCACTGGAAGGACTGATGCTGAAGCTGAAACTCCTATACTTTGGCCACCTGATGCGAAGAACTTACTTCTTGGAAAAGACCCTGATGCCGGGAAAGACTGAAGGTGGGAGGAGAAAGGGACGGCAGAGGATGAGATGGTTGGATGGCATCACCGACTCAATGGACATGAGTTTGAGCAAGCTCGGGGAATTGATGATGGACAGGGAGGCCTGGCATGCTGCAGTCCACAGGGTCACAAAGAGTCAGATACAACTGAGTGACTGAACTGAACTGAACTGAAAGAATCTTCACTGACTTTTTTGACTGATGCCACAGACATATATGGTGAATGTCTTTTCATGCAAATAATATAAAAGTACATTGCAGTTTTAATAATAGTTGTATAATATTTTATGTGTGGACATACCTATTGTTTAGTCAATCCCATGGTGCTAGCCATTTAAGTTGCTTCTATTTTTTCTTAGAAACATTGGTCAACTGTGTATAATTGATATTTCTCTGCATACAATTATTTATTTCTCTAGGGGAAAAAAATCCTACAAGTACAGCGCTCTGCCGAAAGGCAGGTACATCTTTAGAGCTTCTTATATAGATTACCAAATTGCCATCTAGATAAGTTGTACTAATATATATGCCAACTTGTCCATTTTCTATGTGCTCCCCCTCCCAGGAGTCCCTATCTCTATTTCTGCCACAGCCTACCATACACTTGCTCCAAAATTAAGAAAAGGAAAGCAGGCTGGGTTTGGAAAAATCTTTGCAACTTCTCCCATTTTCTTCTTTCATAGCTTCACTGGGCCAGGGAGTAGAGGAAGGAAGATCTTCCTGCTCTTAAGTCAACTCGGGTGGGGGTGGTGTTCCTATAAAGGCCTCACCACTTCCTCTCTTCTAAAAGAAGATTGATCTAAACCTCTAACTTGAGAGAAGTGGGGAAATCACTCTTTGCACACAAGATTCTTTTTGTCACACTTCTCTTTCACATCATTATAAACGGTAACTCAAACAAACAAACCAAAGAAAGAAAGAAATGGTAACTCATTCTGACATTACTTGATTGCCAGAATTGCCCAAGAAAGAGGGCTTTCTTTGTCAGACCCTGCACAAGATCATACAATCCTTTCTCTCTGTCAACCTAGAGACAAGACAGCAGATTTTGGTAATTTTTTGAAAAGCACCTCTTATCATTTCCTAACATTTCCAATAGTCACCACCCTATTTCACTCCTCATCATCTTATGCTTGGTTTGTCATACATGCTTGCATGCTGAGTCACTTCAGTAGTGTCCAACTCTGTGCAGCCCTATGGACCATAGCTTGCCAGGTTCCTCTATCCATTGGATGCCCCAGGCAAGAATACTGGAGCAAGTTGCCATGCCCTCTTCCAGAGGATCTTCCCAACCTAGGGATCAAACCTGCATCTCTTGTGTCTCCTGCATTGGCAGGCAGGTTCTTTACCATTAGCACCACCTGGGAAGCCCCCTGGTTTTATCATAACTTAACAAATATCTCCACACCTAACCCATCCCAGCTCCAGCCCATTTTGCACATTGCCCCATTATTTTTCCTTTTGCCAAAAGTGTCCAGTAACTCCCAGAAAACGACAGGATCATATTTCAATATTCCAGCTTGCAGTTCAGGATCTTCCCCAAACTTTTCACACCCTAAATTTCCACCTTAGTCTCTCATCACTTCTCTTCCCAGTTTCCGTTCCAGGCAAACTGGTTAACTTCCTGTCACTGGAACAAATTTGCATGTCTTTCTTCAAGCCCTTTCCCCTCCTGGAATGCCCTTCTATGTTTTCTCATGTTGCCCTTTGGGGCCCACCTTAAGTGTGCCCTCCCTCCTTGAAGCTTCCTACCAACCTCTGCTTTGTTTAAACAGATAGCATATATTTGACAATAAGCATATGCCCAAGTACTGTTAGTAACCCTTTTGTATTTGTGTACCTTACCTCTCCAGCTAGATTTTATTTTTTATAATTGAGTCCATTTTAATGAAAGAAAAATACTTTTAGACGTAAGTTTGGATAAAAAATGCATTTAGTTCATCTAAGTAGTGGTTGGCATCATAATTTAAAAAAATTTGATACCCCTAATACTATTTTAAGAGATGTTTTAGACACCTGAAATTATGAAAAATTCCAGCTAGATTTTATATTCAAGCAAGAAAACCATTCTTTTAATCGATTGAAACATACAATTTTATTAATGATACACAAATGAAGTCTTTGGTGAATAAATTCAAGTCAAACAGATGATAGAAGTATAGGCTATTCATGATGGACAGGTTCACTGTCAATTCACATAGAGGAATCAGTAAAAATATTTCTATTCAAGCAGCACGATTAAAGTCATAGATGTGTTTTCAGGACAAGAGGACTGTTTACTTGGTATTCATAAAATGGTTCAGCTTAAGCTGGAGATAGTCACAGATAACATCACTCTGATTGATACATTATTCAAAACTGGCAGCTGAAAGGATCCCTTTACTATATGAGAAGGTGGAAAAGCAGTAACTTTCCATTTTTATTGCTCTCAGACTGCAAAACCTGACATTTCTTCAAGTTTTCGAGAGCACATAGACAATCAGAATTTGTCCACTAGTTTTATAACTTTCACTTTCACCAAGAGGTCATGGTGATCTGCTAAGGCTCGAATTTTCTTAACGCACACTCCAGATGCAGTACATAAGTAAAAAAGGGAGCCTTTATTGAATTCTCTGTAGTTGAATACTTCTGCCCTGAGATTGTCATAGATGATCTCAAATAGAGTCAGGGCATTAATAAGAATTTCTGATTCCACATAAGAATTGTAGAGGGAACTAAATGATGATGGCACTTGGGTACTGAGTAGTTTTTTTAACATATCTGGATTTTCAGCAAAATTCGAAAGTATTTTCAAAATCTCAACCTTGATTTTTCCACCTCCCTGAGATAACAAACGGAAAAAGTTTGCAATAGAATTGACAAGCAGGTGCTGGTAGTCATTAGTAATAGTCATGTTTGTTAAAAATTTTAATCCAACTACCTGTACTGCTGAATTCAGGTTAGAGGCCATGATGTCATCCATCACTTTATTCATGTATATCTGAAGCCGGCCCTGATTTTCATAATTCTCACTCAGGTTATTCATGGCCATTAAGGCTTTTTCCTTAATGTGAGGATCGGTTTTGTTGATCATGTTGGCAATAATTGGGAGGCCTCCCAACTTGCGAATTGTGTCTTGGTTGCATGAATAATTGGCATTATTGCTCAGAGTGAGCAAAGCTACCTGTTGGATGAAAGGATCATCTGATTTCTGAAGCAAAGCAAGGACTTTCCTGAGATCTCGGACACCCAGAATCTCATCAATTTCATAAGGAAAGGGGCGCTTCTGCATGGGAACAGGTCTCCTCCCTTTCCCTTTCTGCTGGGTCTCAGGCTCAGAGTCTGAATCCGATTCTGTGTCTGTCCATCCAGACTCTCCTTCCTCAGAATCAGGGACCTCTGCCAGGAATGCCTGGCCCCCATTAGCAGACGCTGCTGCGGCTGCCGCAGCCCCATCTCCAGGCCGAAAACCCAGCCCCAGTTCATCTACTTCAACCTTATTTTTCTTGCCCTTGCCCTTGCCTCCAGTCCGGGACCTGGTTACACCCTTAGCTCCACCTTTGGGTACAGCTCCAGTAGCTGACCCGGCCTTAGGTATAGCCCCAGTATGAGCCCCGGGGGTTGCTTTCTTAGTTGCTGCCGCTGTTCTAGAGGACCCTGAAGGCCCAGGAGCCTCTGTAGCCCCAGAAGGCGCTGCTACCCCTAAAGTCGCTGCTGCCCCAGTAGGCATTGCTGGTATGGAAGCCTCCACTGCCTCTGTAGGTTGTGATGCCTCAGTAAGAACTGGCACCCCATGAGGCACCACTGGTGCCCTGGGAGCCTCTGCTGTGCCAGGGGCTTCTGCTAATTTAGGAGCCCCAACCATTGCAGGAGCCTTCGCAGCTGAGGGAGCCTTTGCCTCCCAGAGAGATGGTGCCACTGCAGAAGCCACCGTGGCTTCTGATTCAGCTTTAGGCCCCACCCGAGCCCCTTCTGTCTCCTGGGCCTTATTTCCTGCCCCACTCTGGGTCTTGGCACTGGATGCAGCTGGGACCACTGCTTCAGCTCGAGCAGTGCCCAGAGCAGAGGATTCATCCTGAGCCCTTTCCTCTGCCCCTGTGTGGATTGGGGCTGGAGGACTGAATCCTGGCCCAAGGTCAATTGTGAATCCAGCCCTTAGTCCAGCTCTAGCCCTGGTTCCAGTCTCAGCCACAGCCCTGGTCCTGGGTTTAGCCAGTCTCTTCTTCATCATATGGTTTCTTCCCCTGGCATATTTGTAGACACAGTACCAGGCACTGGCCCCAATGACTATCCCAGCAGCTACACAACCAGCATCCCGAACACGGCTCATGATGCAGCTGGAGTTAATTCTCTGATCCAGACGTGCCCAAGCGGGGTGCGTGCACATCCAGGTGAGGCGCTTCAGCTCAGGCTCGAAATTCTGATGAGGCTGCAATCAAAGCAGGACCTGGGGGTGAAGGATAAAAATGAGGCTTAGGGCTGGCTCACTTCATGCCTAGCCAGGCCTACTTACAGAAGAGTCTGGGGACATAATGCTTGTTGGGTGGGCCAGTACCCAGATATAGGTGTCCAGGCCTCTGTGTGCTGCTTCAGGTCCCTGGTTGTCTGATGTTTTCTACATCTTTATCCCTAGCCCACCCTGCCCAATATCAACACACCTAATTTCCCAGCACCTAAATGGGGGATGAGAGGCCAAACAGACTTCAGGAAAGTTGGTAGAGAGCCAGAAGGAACCCTAGATTCTTCTCCGATTCCCTCACCCACACCCCAAATATTCTGAGGTGATGCCCATACACTTACCAAGTTGCTGGGAGAGCAGGAGCAATTTGCTCTTTTCCACCAGGCTTACAGGTGTGTAGGGCCCAAAAGGCAGAGAGACCTGTGGAAAGATCCCAGAAAGGGGGTTTTGGGCATCTTTGTAGATGAATTCTCTTCTTCTCTTGATTTGAACCCCTGTGAGTAAGTTTCTCCCTCCCAGGGCTCCTCTTTCCTACCATATCTCTTCCTCCTCAAACCCTGATTTAAGAAGGCAAATGCCACACCCCTTTGGCTTCACCAAAAAGAACACGTTCAGGGCAAGAGTTTCTTGTAAAGTGGGAGAAGATGAGGGAAGAGAAACCTCTGGCCCCAATTTCTGCTCTGGTTTCTGCCACATCCATACAAGGGGTTCCCAGACAGTTCCCAGCCCCCCTCACACTGACCTCCAATGATTCAGGGCTGTTTCTCTTTTCCTCAGTTCAGTTACAGCTTCATCTAAAGACAGACTGAAGAGCAGAAATACAGAAATACAGACAGCAAAACGTTGGAGACTGAGAGCCCGGAGGATGGAACTGACTCAAGACAAGAGTCCCCAGTTGTTTTTTAGCATTCACAAACTAGAATGACAAAGGGCTTCCACCTCTCAGTTCCCTCAACTCTTCTCATCCCTCCCCTCCCACCCTAAACCCCGCCCCTGCGCAGACTCCCCAGGCACTCAACCCCTCCTTCCCTTCGCCCCGCCCCCGCCCGCCATTTCTCCCAGACGGCCACACCCCTTCTCCCTGCACCGAAACAGGAGGGGGCGGGGCGAGGGTGCCGCGGAGGCTGGTTGGGTCGCTGGACTAAGGGTTATGGCCAAACAATCTAGCATCTCTCTCGTATGACCACCCATCCTTCATGCTCCAGCCCCCAGGCCTGGCATCAGCCAACAACTGGACCCCAGTGTTTGCCCTTTCGGTTTGAGGGTCGTGATTCTCCACTGTTTCTCTGCTCTGGGCTCCGCTTCCCACCCGCCCCTCCGCCATCGCAAACCCCCGTTAACCGCCATTTCTCCCGCCAGCATACCCGAACTCCTTTTTCAGGACTGAAAAAACAGGGGTGAAGGGCTGTATGGGCCAGTTATGTCTGGAAAGCAGCCTAGGACTTAGCACAGCGGTTTCTCTGAGGGTCTTCCTTCCTGTAAAGCCCAGAGCCAACCCGCCATCTCCCCTACAAATGCTGTCACATTTCCTAGCACCCCAAAGGACTGGGGGCCGGCCGGGGAGGAGGGTGTGGGGGCAGTGGTCGAGGGAGATATCTGAAAAGTGAGAGTGGGAGTGAATAAGCCGGATTGTTTACTAATTGCGTGCCCCTCGGATCACCCTTTCCCCAACCTCCCCACTGGCCTTATATGCGCTGCCACGTTTATTTCTCTTCCCTCCTCCTCTCAAAACTGTATGGGATGTGGGGTGCGGGGCCTGAGTGTCAGAAACAAAACCAGAAAAACACTGGCTGAGAGAGGAAGTGAGCGGATTCTCTGCAAGTATGTCTTCGTCTTTATGTTCCACCCTCCCCAGCTCCCCGCCGCCCACCAAAATGAGCTGCGACTAAGCTCGGGGGTCTGGAGAGTCGGCCAGGGGCGGGCGAGGTGGAGACACCCGCGGCCTCAGACTCCCGCATTTCTGTGCTACCCCCTATTCAGGGGTGCCGGGTCATGGCCACCCTCACACCCACCTGCCCGGATCTGGGGGGATTTTCTCCTCCTCCTCCGCGCCTGGGTTAAACGCACGGCAGTGCACAGCGCAATAGAGTTGGTACCCAGAGGAGAACGGAGGACGGCGGTCAGAGCTTTAAGTATCTTTGCTAACGTCAGCTCCTGGTCACGTGAGGGCTGCATCACCAGTAAGCTTGGGGCCCCAATTTCCACTCCCACCAAGAGCAGGAGCCCCCTCCTTTACCCCCACTAGCACCTCACCCTACCCCATCAGGTCGTGTCACTCATTTTTTTTTTTTTTGGTCTTTACCACAAGTAGCCTGTTCTCCCTGTGTTAGAATTTTGCCTTTCTCTGGTTACCGGAGAGGGGATGGCATCTTCTTGGAGGGCTATTGACAATTTTTTATTTTTTTGTCGGGGAATTCTCTCATCCTTTCTTGAGCAGCTAAACACTCTCCCCTCGCTCCACCCTCAGTCCCCCATGCACTACTGCCCACAGTCGTACCCCTGCTCCAGTATAGGTAAGGGGTAGAGTGTCAGAAAGGAGACAGGGAATGGTAGTGCGGTCTTTACTTCTGTAATACTTCTCTCTTTTTTTTTTTAAGCTGTTACCACCCTTTATTATTATAGTAAGAAAATATAAGAAAACAATAATTCAGTGTGGGAAGCAGCAGCAACAATAAAAAAAGAGTAGACATGTTCTAGAAAAAAGATCTCCCACTAATATTGAAAGGCACCATTAATTTTGGTTAATTTTTACCACATAGAAAATTCTATTGGCTGCATAGGAAATAGTTTTCAAAGCAAGGTAAGGTATTTGCATATCTAAAAATGGAATTTTTCTCAACAAGTTAAGTGTGTTTCCATACCATCTGTAAATTGATCTATGGAGAGATAAATAAGATGTCTGATCTTATTTATTTTGAACAAATAATATCCTACTTTTTCTCCTTCTGGGACAGCTTTTAAGTTGGATAAATAAATGATCCTGTCTTGTTCTGTTAGAGAAGCACATTTATTTCATGTTCCCAAACCGTTGCTGCCTGCTGTGTGAACCTCTTGAAACTTGATGGCTGCAACCATGACAGTTTTGATCACCTGTCCCTGGATCAGGTTCCAGTTTTGTGATTCAGCTCTGGGCAAAAAGAATAGCTCTTGTACGAAGAAAATGATGGATATGAGGGATGCAGATATGGTCAAATCCTTCCAGTCCAGTCAAGAGGGGAGGGAGGAAGGCACTTGCCCTCCCACCTCTCCTATATTCCAGTGCCTCTCATCCTCTGGCACCTGACTTTGTTGCTTACCTCAAAAGTATATATGGACAGGTGACCAAGGTGGTAAATGTCATATTTACTCAGATGACCAACTTGAGTAAGTGCCTTTGGCTTCCTTCCTCCCTCCCTCACAGCGGTAACTTAGGGATTCAGAGAAAGGATTGCTGTTCCCACCTACCCCTGCAGCCGAGGGTTTCCATGAAGGTTGCTGAGGAAAGCACCCAGGCCTGCCTGCCCTGCTCTGCCCTGATTCATGGTGGCCCAATTAACCTTGTTCCTTATGCTGTCTGCTGCTACCACCTGACCTGAGAGGTGCAGCCTGCTTGCCTCTCACCTCTGGCCACCTTACCTCAGGTCATCCAGGGGGAACCCAGCCTTGCTGCTGGGTCACTGCCCAAAGCCCACAACTACCAAGGTACTTCCTCAGCCAAATGTATGCCTGGGCCCCAGATACTCTCCCCACTGACCATCCTAATTAACCCAGAGTAAGTGTTTTCAACAGGCACCTGTGTTCTACGTGAATTGTATGCAAGGTTTTGTTTTTGAGTGTATGTGTGATTAAGTGCATTTTGGGGGAGGGGGGAAGGGGAGGAGAATAAAAGTCATTGACCTCCTCAGTTTCCCAAGGGATCTTGGATCCCTGCCCTATATATTAAGAATATATACAATGACCAAGAGAGTCTGCATTTCTAAAATAGTCCAGATTAGGAATATCCTGTTTTTTTTTCTAGTAATAAAAGTAATGTACATATATGTGAGTACTAAGTTGCTTCAGTTGTGTCCAACCATGTGCAACCCTATGGACTGTAGCCTACCAGGCTCCTCTGTCCATGGGATTCTCCAGGCAAGAATACTGGAGTTGGTTGCCATGTCCTCCTCCAGGGGATCTCCCCGACCCAGGGATTGAACCCACAGTCTCTTATGTCTCCTGCATTGGCAGGCGGGTTCTTTACCACTAGTGCCACCTGGGAAGCCCCAGTGTATGTATAAATTAGTGGTTACAAATATTCAAAACAATAAGGAAATGTATAGTATTCAGAGAGAGAGCTCCATGATCTCTTTTACATTGTTAGTTGCTGCTAAAGATTCCCAGCTTTCTTTTTATGCACATATTAGTAAATGCATTTGTGGTTATTAATCAACTTCTGAATTGAACAAGAATAAACAATAATCATTTGGAATTTATATTGTAATTGCAATAAATCTGCAGATTATTTGAGGAATATTAGCATCTTAACACTGAGACTTCCCCTCCAGGAAAATATGTCTCCATTTTGCTCAGATCCATTTTTATGTTTGTTAATCAAATATTGTAAGTTTCTTCAGCTAAGTAACTCCTATTAATTGTTAGATTTTTCCTAGGTATTAGAAGTTTATGTTGCAGAAATGCTATTCCTTTCTCAAATTATAATTTCTTAAAGGTGATTTTCTGCTTAAGGAAAATGTTCTACTATTATATAGTTATTTTGTATCTGCCAGTTTCTGTGTTCTGTCTCATTGATTCCAATTCTTTTCTGGTGATGCTTTTGGTTTTTCCAGGTATGTATACATAACTATCTTCAAATGATGATTTTTTTTTTAACATTTCTTCCTTTCTAATATTTATAACTTTTCCCTTTTTCTTTTCTGCATGTGTTATAAGGATGAGAACTATGTTGAGTAATGGTGGTACTTGAGAACCTTCTGATCTTGTTCTTGAAAAAAATGGGAATACCTCTTATGTTTCATCTTTTAGGTGTAACTTTTGCTGTTTCTGATACATTTTATCTGTTTTTCAAGGTTACTTTTACTTGTGTTTATCAGTACTTCACAAAAAGTAGAAGGAAATAGTATCAGTGAGTAGAGGTTAATTCACAAGTTCTGTGGTCTTGGTAGCCCACAAAGATGGAGGAATCTGCTAGGTCAGAAGAGCCTCTGATATAGTCTTCATCAGACTAAGACTATTTTATGTGCTCAGTCGCTCAGTCACTCTTTGTGACCGCATGCACTGTAGCCCACCAGGCTCCTCTGTCCATGCAATTTTCCAGGCAAAAATACTGGAGTGGGTTGCCACTTTCTACTCCAGGGGATCTTCCCTACCCAGGGACTGAACCTGCATCTCTTGTGTCTGCTACATTGGCAGGTGGATTCTTTACCACTAGTGCCACCTGGGAAGCCCATTTTCTTTTCATTAATTTAATTTAACTTAATCTAATTTAACCAATAATAATTCATTAAATTATAAATATATAATTCTTTACTACATAAGCCAAGTTTCCACTATTCCTTTCATATATATATATATATATATATACACACACATATACATATACATATTTAAATTTAGGACTGCCTGAATCAGTTTATCAAATACTTTAATTGTATTTTTTTTCCTTCCTCAGTTTGCTGTTGCAATGACGATGTAGATAAACCAGTCTCCATGTCACTCTAGTCTCCCTATAGTTTATTCTCACTACCTCCCCCAAATTCAAACTCCCAACTCACTTTCCCTGGTTTAGAGTAAATGCAGATGTCCTCACTACAACTGACAAGGGCCTATTCTCTTAACCTTATTACCTTTCTGCTTCATCTTCTACTGCTCTCTCTTTCACTCAATGATTCCAGCCTCACTGATGTTCCTGGAACATACTGGGCTTGTTACTTCCACAGATCCTTTGCATCTGCTTGTCCTCCTGCCTGGCATATTCTTCCCTCAGATGTTACCACACTTAGATCCTTCACTGACTTCAGGTCTTTACTCAAAGGTCACCTTTCTAGTGATGCCTTCTCTGGTCACCCTGAAAAGTTATCTGAAAGTTTAACCTGTCTCAACTTTTCATATCTCCTTTTCCTGCTTTTAATTTTTTTTTAGTATGTATCACTAATAGTATATTATATATATGTATGTATATTATTTATTTGCTTTTTTATTGTCTGTCTCTCTCATTACAATGTAAAGGCCACATGATTTAGAGATTTAGCTCTGTTTTATTCACCCTTGTAACTACAGAATGTATAACAATGCATGGTATGTAAGAGGTTTCAGTAAATATGTTGAATAAATGAATAAATAAAGCAATTGCTTTCCAACATTTCACTTGCAGTGACTCTCATGAAGTCCAGAAATAAAGCCAGTTGGTTATGCTATAGTAGCAGATTTGTAAACTCTCAAGTAAATAATTAGCTAAATCAGGGACTTATCATGTGACTAGATGTAGAAGATATTAAGAGTGCTTTGAGTGGCATATATGGAACTCATAATAGAATGATTGTTTATGAGACATGCCTTTATAAAAAAGTAATCTTTTTCTTCGCATGTGAAAGTAGTTCTATCATTATTTTGCCACAATAAAATTTGCATTATAAAAAAAGAAACAGAATACTGCTAACAAGAAAATAAAATCCATTCCTACTCTCTGCTTCCTTTCCTGCCATCCCTTCCCCCATCCCTATTTCCAGGTATTTTCAGGACTGCAGAGGTGAACATTAGTGATTCCAAAGAAAAAGGGTGGAGGGAGCAGGGAAAAGGACAGGACCATTCCCTAGAGAAGCAGTAGAATTGGCCAGGAGCCCAAGAGAAAATGTTGCCTCTTCTAATAATCAAAGACAACAGGTTTGTTGGGTGTGCAATGACTAAAAAGAGGGACAGCGTTCTGTGTGGTGCTGGGGGGACAGGAGGAGGGGGCTGGAAGGGGGCGGGTCACCCTCTGCTTGGCTAATAATAGGAGGGGAAATTTGGGACCCTGAACTCACCCGTGACGTAGCTTCACGTGACTAGGAGCCTGTGTGCTGAAGTCGGTCCAGATAGCGGTTCAGGTAAACGACTCTTGATTTCGTTGGAGGTGGTGTGATTGTGGTCAGGGAAGGAGGACAAGAGGAAACCCGTCCTGATTCCCGCCGCTCACGGTGAGGGTGGGTATTGATTGGAGACTCTTGAAATGAGGGTGAAGGGTAGATTTTCGAGTTTGGAGGGGCTTCTCAGTCTCCTCGACCCTCCCCCCCGACCCAGGTCAGAGTCACCCGAACCCAGCTCCTTTTTGTGTTCTGCCTTGTAAAAGACAGCTGAAAAGGTTGGGATGGGGGACTCCCGCGGGCAGAGGGGAGGGGAGGAGGAGACTAGCGGGGAGTGGGGCCATGGGCGTGGCGGGGCGGCGGGGAGGGGGGTGGGTGTGAGGTGAGAGACAGGCCTGAATACCTGGACTGACAGGAAAAGTTCCGGGTTTGAGCCCACATTTAGCTGTTGGTGCGTTCACTGTATTCACTGCAGCACTGAGTCCCCATTGTCTCCTATCTGTTTCTGCCTGGTTCTCGCTTTGGTCTGTCCCTGTCTGCTGGTCCATCTGTCAGTGGGTTGATGATGCAAAAGAAAAAGCAGCTTAACGCCTCATTTTCTTCTTCCCTCTCCGCCCCCAACACGCCCGCCCCCTTGATCCGGCTAGTTTGCGGTTTCAGATTCCCGCATCCAGGCGGCTCTCCATATCCAACGAGAGTCCCCTGAGAGTTTCGCTCGGCTGCAGGATGGGCCGTGCTCAGAATTTGGGCTTGATGGCAACAGGCCTGGTGGTCGGCGCTGGCTCCTGGTACTACATATACCGACTGACGTTGGGAGAGCAGAATAAGAAGAGACCTGCTGATTCGAAAGACGTTAATCCTGCCTACAAAAAGTTTAGAAAATATAGAAAACTGTAAGGAAGAAAATAAAAATAAATCACCAATAATTGCTATTCCTTGTCTTTCTGTCTGTGTAAGAATGTGGATGTGTGTGTTTAACATTATTGAAACTATACTGTGTATGATATCCTGGAATTATTTTTTTTTCAGGTTACATTGTAGGGTATGCCTTTCATCAATTAGTGAATATGCTTCATAAACAGTCTTTGAACAGATTGTTTCATAATAACATCATAATCTTCTCCTTTGCTGGGCTTTCAGATAGGAAAGAAATATTAGATATCTTAATTTTCTACAAAATAACTGTGGTGAATCAGTGATAAAGAATCCGCCTGCCAATGCAGGAGACGGAGAAGACTCAGGTTCGATCCCTGGGTTGGTAAGATCCCCTGGAGGAGAAAATGGTAACCCACTCCAGTATTCTTGCTTGGAAAATTCCATGGACAGAGGAGCTTGGAGCTTGGAAGGCTACAAGCTCGTGGGGTCACAAAGCATGGGACATGACTGAGCGGCTGAGCACACACACACACACACATAGAGAAAGTCTACATAGACTTTCTCAGGGATGTCTTTCCATACTAGTTATAGCTGTTATATCCATCATTCTTGTTTCCAGAAGGACCAGTTAGGTAGCTTTGGTGCCATGCTTGGCATAGAGGGCATAGGAATTTGGTGAGACTAACAGCCTTGGGTAGAACCTAGCCTTGCAGGATCATCATAAGTCCAGCAGCTTTTATTTCCTCCTCTTTTCTTTGGGCTGTCAGGAAGCAGGCTAGTGGTCTCATCTATTCAAGGGACACTGAGATCTCTCCCGTTTTCCATTGAGTGGGAGAAGGGATTTCTTTTTAGTATGAGGGAAATCCTTCACTCCCTGAGCTTCATTTTTCACAATGGTTTTGGGGTTTGGAGGAAATAAAACCTGGGAAATCCTGCCACAAACTTTCTCTGAGGCAAGGAAGTACAAAATTGGCAGGACTGAGAAAGGGAGAGCAGGGAACACAGACAACCATAGAAGTGAAACAAATTAGAATCTTAAGTGAGGTTCTCTAGAAGCAGAGCCTGACATGGGGCTTCTTCTGAAAGTGGTTTATTGACAGTGTTCTCAGATGAAACATATATGGAGATGAGGGGTGCAGGACAGGACAGGGGAAGAAACTAGGCATAGCTGTTCAGCTGAAATGTAGCCTCAGTTTGAGTCCAGGGCAGCGTTGGGATGTGAAGGGCATCATAGAACTGATCCATTTTAAGACAAAGGAGCCAAGTTTCTATCCACCAACTGAAAGTCTTTTATCCCTCCATCAGTGGGTGAGTTGGTATGAGAGGAAAGGGGTTTTAGCTCCAAGATATCCCCTGACAAGGGTGTGGCTATGAATTTTTAGCAACCAATGTTCATAGCAACTGAGTGGGGTGGCTGTAACTAGCCTAGGAAGTGGAATCTGGGCAGGGCATCAATAGTGTCTTCTTCCCTGGTGGCTCAGATGGTAAAGAATCTACCTGCAATGCAGGAGACCTGGGTTCAATCCCTGGGTTGGGAATATACCCTAGAGGAGGAAATGGCAACCCACTCCAATATTCTTGACTGGGAAATCCTGTGAACAGGGGAGCCTGGTAGGCTACAGTCCATGGGATCCAAAGAGTCACTGGACACAACTTAGTGACTAAACCACCACCACCACCAACAACAACCCCCTCAACTATAACTAGCCAGTCTGCATTCTTGGAATGAAAATGTGTTTCCTATCCATGTGAACTTCCCATCAGGAAGCCTTAACTTCAGCATTACTAGCTGCAGAGTTATTTCATGGGTGTGGTCTATCAGGAAATGCCCAGCTTCTCCATAAACAACACAAAAAGAGGAGAGTGCAGCTACTTCTCCAGTCTCCTAGTAGTTGTCTCAGAAACACTTTCTGTCAGAGGCTAATTTTCTCTCTGCAACCTAAGTAAGAATCAAATTTCCTCCTTCAATACATGAATTTTGGAGGGGTAATGTGTAGCATGCAATTTAGCACCTTGGAAAAATATGTTCTGCCTATGAGATTGGAGGCTAATACAAAGGTTGAGAGATGTTTAGATATAGGATAGGATGTATGGCTCTAGTCCAATTAGAACAGGCCTTGGCAGGTGTTAAATTGGCTGCCATACAACTCTCTTCCAAATTCTTGAAACCAGTGGAGAAGGTGCTAGAGGAAGGGCAGGTGTTATTCACTTAGACCAGATGACCCAAGCAGAGGCGGGAGGATGTAAAGGCAAAGGGACCTTGTTAACCTGACAAATGGGCTACCCATTAATTTAATATTCATGTGGTGGCTCTGGGCTCTTGGAGATAGAAGGGTCCTTGGAGGAATTTAAAATTTGAGCCCTCATCTTGCTAATGTGAAAAAAAAAGCCTCCTCATTTTTTTTTTCGTGGTTCCCTTACACTTCAAATGTCAAAATTTGGGACCCAGAATATCAGAAAGGCAGGCCTATTTACACAGTCTGATAAGATATACATTGTTCTAAATTGCAAACCCATTTCAGGTTTGAAAATTTTATACCTACAGCGCCTCTGCTGTACGTCAGAGGAACAGAATTCTTTGCCAAAACTGGAGTTGTTGAGCATCTCATCATGGCTGTCCTATCTGAGGCTTGCCACATCTCTGAGGCACTCTTGGGGCAGGGCATATTTCTTCATATTCATTAATCTTTCCCCAGAACAGGTGAACGTTCTTGACTAGGGGGAAATTCCTCTCTCTTCAAATCATAAGTTATCTTGCTCAACTTGACAGATGAGATCAAGAGAGAATAAGTTAACCAAGACCCTACAGGTACTGATAGGTCAATGGATAAGTTCTTTCTCATTTTAAAAACATATATCTTGTTAAAATAGTTAAATATTAAGAAACTGTATTATAATTTAATTTACTTCCTTCTCCTATTCCTAACCAGTTTCACTTATAATTAAAAGTTATATCTTTTAATGTTGTGAGATAATTGAAAATTACAACACATTATAGGATATTATGTAAAAGTCTGTTAAAAATGTCTCCATGACAAAGATTTTCAAGTCCCAGCTAATGGCCTATTTTTATACAGTGTGTGTATTTCTCTTATAACCATGTTTTCATAATTCAAATTGGATTTAAGGTCTTTGGTCAATAGGAAAACCAAATTTACATTATATAAAGAGTGGCTGGTATTAATGCCATCAAAATCAAAAGCC